TCATCATACCGTAAAACTTAATCCTACAGTTTGGCAAATTATTGACCATAAAAATAAAATATGACCACTCATTACAAACAGCACGAGAAACTGTTGATTTTTCGCTCCCTTTATTTCTCGGTAAAATACATCGTTAATTGTTATTACACGCTGTATAAAAATCTGAAAACGTCATTGCAATTTTCATGTAATTAGCAAAGATATATTATTTACAGTTACGAATGCCAAAAATTTTGTCTACAATACTTTTAATAAATCGGTACACTTTTTTAAAATTAATCACAGATTTAAATTACACAGAAATTCGAATATTTTACGCGATTTTTTAAAAGCTATTGTAAACCGACGGCGCTAATCACTATTTACGGTGCTAACACGATTATACCAAGGTATGTTACATTGTCGCATTGTTAATTAGACTGTTGTTTACTTATGACACTTTGTGAATGCAAGTAAAATCCAGCGATCTTTATTTCTCTCCTAACTGTCGTCTCTATTTAACTAAGTATTTTCCTTTGTTGTATCACTAAAGGCTATTAACGATACACCTGTTTGGCCAAACAATGGGCCATTAGTGTACATCAGTCGCTACATTGTTTGTATTATTAAAAATAATATCAATCTCTCTCCCGAATAGCTATAATTAATTTAAATCTTCGTTACTGACTGGGAAAATTTATTTCAGAGAATGTAGATAATTGTTTGTTTACTTTAAGACCGTTTTGTTTACATTATAATGTGTGAATGTAAAATAATGTTTAAAATACATTTGTATGTTTGTTAGTTGTTTATTGTTTGTTACTTACATGTTACTTGTTTACATGATTAAACAATTAATTTTAGAAAATAAAACTTGAAAAAAAAAATCCGTATGTTAACATCTGGTATTGTATAATTTAATATTACTCAATTTTGTATATTTTTGTACACCCATACAAATTTCTCTTCAATTTGTTAAAAAAAGTGAAAATACTTTAACTGGCACATAAACTGGTTCTACGGAGTATTCGAATCTTCCCTGAATATGGCTTTGTATAAGCAGATGTAACAATGTGGTATACGCTACTGTTTCATTGAATTTGTTGAGTTTACGATCATTTTTGATATAATTCATGAGCGAAGAGGTTCAAATTGAATTATTTGTTATTTTCGGCAAAACAAGTTGCCCTAGAAAACAAAATCTTTGCCCGGATTAACCCTTGTATCTTAGTAGAACACGGCGTAATTAAATGTTTTAAAATCAATTGGAAACGAATATTGGAAATTTTCAGTTTTAAACAATTTCAAATTCTTCGCGAAATGGAAAAATCATGTAATACATGGTGCTTTTCAATTCTAAATTTTTCGAAATTCGATTAGCGGTCGTATGGATTCGTGTAACCATTTTGTTTGGGGGCTTTGGGCATTCGATTTGGCGGTCGATTTGCAACACCGCACTTAGACGTCTTTAACCTTTTCTATAATGTACTAAATAAATTGAAATAAGTAATAATTTTCGTGACAGTCGAAACCTATTAACCCTTATACATCACTATACATACCCATATAATTGAAAGTGATCGTTTCATCGATAAGGGTTAAGAAAGCGTAGAAATCTAGCTCCCAGGTCCTAGTTTCTCGATTAAAACATTTGGTAATGATTTATTTACTCGACTCAATTAAATTACGGAGAAGGTTGTACGCGGGATCTTTTCATCGTCAAAAAATGAAGATGACATACGCCAAAAAGTCGATATCTTCTTTGTTTTTGTATGTATGACTTGCCGTGTCGTTCGATATATAGGTAAATTAAATACATTCAAACTATGAATCGCAATATAGGTCGTTTATGTAATGAAATTTCGTTGATTGCTTTCTCTTGGCGATTAATTTGGTAGAAAAAGCGTCGTAGGGAAAATCGTTAAGTTCACCTTGATTTTGCTGTAATTTAAAACAAGTACTCTTTACTTTACATATAGCGGTGTTGCGGATAACTAAAAGAGATTTTATATAATTTGTGAACAATATCAGTTGTAATATAGCATCTGTGCCTTTGTTTGGGTATTGAAAAGAATTTCTATTGTTATCGGATCAAAGTATCAAAATGATGTTGTCAAACCTTCTCATGGACATGAAAATATTCTTTTCTAACTTCAACACAGCAGCTCGTGAGGCTTTGTAATTCATCATACTACGTTTCGTGGTACGCCACAATTGTTAAATCCTGTTTTCCTTAGCAGGTAACTTTTGTCGACAAGTAATTTGACCTGTATAAGCGTGTGCGCGCACTGGAGGTAACAATAACACGTATAATACCGTTTGACCGCTGCACAGTTTGCTACTATCGTTGTATTGGTTGAATTAAGCTTCGTGGATGAAGCATTAGCATAAAATAACATCACCTAAATAGGGCCATGTTAAATTTTCACCCAACCATCAAAAATTTGATATATGTATTAGCCTCAAGTGCTTAAAAATTGTCTGGTGTTTTTACAGTGTTTTAAAATGGTGAATCTTTTTTTAAGAAAACGTGAGTGGTGCATGAATTAGAGCTACTTGAATTACGTTATATTTTAAATAAATTTTCGTTCTTTTTCAAATCAAAATACGCAAGTTCAAATTCGCCAGTCCGTGTGAGGCATGTTCGTAAACACGTATGTTAACAACATCTCATTTGATACGCGATACATTTTAAACATAACAATACATCGGAACAATTGTATTAGGAATTGTAGTTTATAATGTTCATGTTTTCTTAGCTGTTTCAGTTGATTTTGGTTTCGAATTGTTGTTATACAAAGTGAAAGGTTTGTTGACAATGAAAAGTTGATTTGAAATGAATGTGAACACAACACAGCTGGTAAAATTTAGCTTTGAAATGTAAATTTCTTTTCGTCGGCAAAACCAATGTACGTACGTACATAGATGTAAATGGAAACGTTATAAATACTTGTAAATATGAGTATTTAACCAAATATTGTTAAATTGTAAGAAAATGTTGGAATCAGTATCAGAAAATGTTTGTGACTGAAAAACGAGATTGCACACTTTATTAGTTCGAAAATTTTGAACGTTTAGCAACTTTTTTTCGCTGACATAGCATGGTGTAATTCTGCTTTATTATAAAAATCTTTTAATTACGATCAGCTGGCCTAAAACACGGAATTATGGCACATTACCACGTACAACAATAACCCAGACATAGCAGTTGAATCTAATCTATCTACTTTGTACTTGGTGGATTAAGCAAGTCCGTGAATATAGTTCCGGACAAGAAGCGGCTGTAGGATTTAGATTTAGGCTAACTTGATCGGTGAGAAAAATGAAAGGAGGAAGAGTAATCCTTCCTTTGTTAGATATGGCTTCACGATATCAGCATTGTTGCGTGATACTGTCTGCGGGAGATAGTGATAAGACAAGGAGAGATTAGGTCATGCTAATTAATTAATAAATTTATGTAACAGTGACAATGTATCGCGAATAACGATAAGAATACCGGAATTTGTTTACTGAACGAGAGAGAGGCGGCCGTCGCTACGGGGGTCAAGACACGAGGCTAGAATGCAAGAAAAAAGTATTCGTATTCCTCGAGAAGAGAGAGATCGTACTATATCTGTTATTTACTTCAGGCATAGAGACTCAGTAACACCTGCAGTCGTCTGATGACACTGTTCGCTCAGTTTATCTTAGTAATTATATATAGGGTGTGAAAAGTATATTTGTGCAAACATATTGTTGTCTCAGAATGTAGAGAGAGAATACGTATCAAGCGCGATTAGAGGATTGTAGGCAGGCAAAACGCCGGTAGTATTTGGAAAAGGAAAACTTTTGGAACTACCAAATGTCGGAGATTAGCTGTTTCACGATCGTGTTAAACATTTCTTTTCGCGGAATGCATTAGGCAGCTTGGTCCTGTTTGTACCATTTGTCAGATTACCATTAGAGCAAAATGAGATACCGTTCCGCCAGATGTCCGTAGTAAGGCGATATACCAGACCGCAATATGTTTGTTTCGGAGCTTCTTCTTATATAAATACTGCCTATTAACTAGTTTGCATTCGATATTTCGGTCTGAATTAGATTAATAGACAAAATATTGGATCTATTAATATATATCAAAAGTTGTGTGTTAACCGAGATACATTGAGATTCTATCATAAAAGGGGCATTAGGTTGTATACATCTTGGATTTATAAGCTAGTGTCGACTTTCTTTTTCATTTTGTGGCGGAAGTTGATAGAATTCAAGGCAACAAAAGTTCATTATGAATAAATCATTTCGAAATGAAATCGGTTAAAACGAAAAAGGCAATTTTGCCGCGGAATTAAGCCCCAAAATGTTCACGATCATAATCGTTTGACAGACTAGAAATAACTGATTTAAATATGAGAGTCGTTAATGCCGAGCAATCACGAGCGGCTGTCAATCGCGCGTGGATGATAGAATTTCTTTTGTTGCAGCCCTGGTGCGCTTGAAGGAGAGACAAAACAATAAGAAATCCCAAAACAGTAGTCAGTCGGGAAGAAATACGCGAAGAAGGCGGAAAGAAATGACATAAGAATGAACTAAGAGAGACAACTTTTATTATGCAATGTGGTTGTAGTAACACAGCACAGTCGACATCAGTCGCGAACAACGCTTCCTGAGAAAGCTAATGTTTCGAATAAGTTAGTTTGATACTTTGGTTAGCTAAAGTCACTTTACGCTTTTAGTTAGGGCATTCATGGTTGAACGGAAATATAAGTTTACTGGCAACCTCGAATGGCAGTGTACAGATTCAGGTTCATGGTGTTCGTTAATAACACGCGTTTAAATTAGAATTAGCTTTTAAGATGGAGAAATATATTTTTTCGTGATTATATCTTGAAATTGAAATTAAAAATAGCGTCCTGAATATGACTCGATTCACTCAATCGCACTTGATGAATGTCGACCAATATATAGAATAACGATTTTGATTTTAAAGTAAAGTATTATATTTTTTTAATATAAACAAAATATAAATTTTAACTCAATTATTTTTCTTCATCATAATTACAGAATTTCTACAATACAATAAAATACTATAGTAGCAAATTAAATCACCAACTACGATTCTCCCGTAATCTTCTACAAAGGAGTACCTGAACATATACAACAATCCGTTCTTGGAATTTATAATAAGGTGAGTCTTTTTGTGCAGTAAATGTAGAAAAGTAACCTTATATTGTGAAAATATCATAATGCCCAAGATATCATGTTTGGCAAGCCTTCTAAAATTTTAAATCTTATAACGGTATTCTCTTTAGAAAATATCGATGGACGCCAGACTCGTCGCGTCTCGACTGCCGGGAATACCGATGTATGGTCAACCGTTTAATGCGCCTCCTTTCCCGGGATATCTCCCATACGGACCCGCGGACGCATCAGCATTCTATTCTCCATTGGTAAGTTTTAATTTACTGTTTTCGGAAAATATTTGTTTCACTATTCTAAGTCATTATTAAAAAAATTGTGAGTTGTTTCATTTATAAATTTCTTGCCATGTGAACCAGAGAAAATACTCGATAAAAACGGGAGAATTACATCATTGGATGCAATATTTTGATCATTATTCATTATTCTGGAAAATAAGTATGTCAAAAAGTGAAAATAAATTTAGTGCGTTTTAATGTTATAACGTTTTTTCGATAATTGTTTTATATGTTCATTTTATTATTTCAGCCGACCGGGGAAAATGCAGAAGCTTGGCGGGCGGGACTGACCCAAGCTGCCGCCGCTGCGTATTACGATCCGACCCTCGCCGCACACTACGGATATGGGTAAGAATTTATTCCTTACATTGAATTCCAACTCTTTTCACGAAGAGTACAAATGTTTTAAGCTTCAGAAATGATATAAAAACCTAACAAAGTCGTCGATAATTTATACTTAATTTTTTTAGTAGATATATAAACAAAATTTAATTTGAAATTTAGATATGGACCCATGGGTCTGAGTGATGGTGCAAGAAGAAAGAATGCAACTCGCGAAACAACTTCAACATTGAAAGCATGGCTTAACGAACACAGAAAGAATCCATACCCAACAAAAGGCGAAAAAATTATGCTTGCCATCATAACAAAAATGACTCTAACACAGGTAAAAAAAAATTCGGAAAAGTGAAATAATAAAGAATATACTTTTGATTAAAAATTTAATATTTCGTTGTCAATTTATCGTTTCAGGTATCTACATGGTTTGCGAACGCACGTAGACGACTCAAAAAGGAAAACAAAATGACTTGGTCACCCCGTAACAGATGCGGCGATGAGGACGATGATGATATCATGGACGGCGATGATGACAATAATTTGAACAATAACAGCAATTCGCAAATGCGAGAAGGTCATACAAGTGCTGGCGAACGAAGTGGAAGCAGATGCTCAAGTCCAAACCCTACGATCTCAAACCCAGAAAATCAGCGAAGGGTTTCTGGTTTTGATTTGCCTCAACAAGGTACACGCCACCCATTTTTGCCTCGCCCGGAAATCACAGGATCTTTCAGAATTCAAGGACCAGTAGGAGGACCTAGACCGGCCAACGAAGTTTCAAGAAGAAGAAGCCGAGGCGATGAAGACGAGGAAATTGATCTTGAAAGTGTCGACGATGAACGAAAAGAATTATCGCTCGGTAAGTCGAAAATAACATCTAACTTTTGCTTTACCAATTCATTTTGAATTCACAATTTGCGGATTATTGGCTACTGGTTCAAAATAATGTGGCATAAAAATGATAAAAAAGATTTTGAGTATAGTTTTGTTGTCGCACGAACGGAGACGTATAATGTTCACGATCGTGATCTAGACCTAAAATTCAAAATGGCGGACATCACGGCGGGCGCTGATAGTGGACGAATACGTACGTCCCTGAGCGACTTATAATTTCAGTGCACACAAGCGCCGTCGATTTAAGTTCGATACATTTATTTAATATACAAACATCATAAACGTGTTTATGCAATGTGCTAAAGCGTTTTCCTGTATTAAGCAACTTCGGAACTTTCTGCTAAGCAATCGGATGACACCCACACGCTAATCATATTGATTCTTGAGTAAAATTTCTAAACGCATGTGTGAAATATGGAAACGACGTTCGGAAGTAATAGCCCCCGAACGTCGGTGGTTTGTCAAACTCACGCGTCCTCTGTTTGTGTGTTTGGTGTGAATTGCTTTTTCCGGATTTGCATAGTAAGCTCGTTTGCAGTTTTTCAAACGAATTTCACACCATGAAGCATAAGTACACATCCTCGCGTTAATGAGAGCCATTAACATTCGTTGAAGTTTATGAACTTTTAGCCAGACATTCATATACTAATGAACGATTTACAAGTTGTTAACGAATGTGTTGAATGTCGGTATCAGACAACGCTTCCATGGCGCATTACATTTGGGAGTATGCCAATTTAAACTTAAATTTATGTTATTGTGCCCAAATGGTTTATATAATGTTTACATTCCTTTATGTCTTTCCTATCAAACACAGTTTGAATTAATGATCTTAGATTAGGAAAAGGCTAACAACTTTTCGCTGTTTAAATGTGGTCGTGTGGAGTGCAAACGGATGGATTTGTTTACAAACAGTCTCTGTTTTCCGCCTTCATCGTCTGTCGTTATAATTTGAATGCTATTGTGTTTTTGTTTACATTTTAAGTAAAATAAAGATCTCACTAACACATTTTATGCAATTAATTGTACCCTGAATAAATAACCGCTTCCTCAATTGAAAATTATTTGTATGTGCTTTTAATGAATAAAAGTGTTTTGCGATTTCACAATTTAAATGGTGTTGTGCGCTGTAAATTGTAATGATTTTTACCCTAATTTTAATTTTTAGTGAAAAGATCTCATTCCACTGAAGGCAATTCCGCGGATGAAGTTTCTCTTCGCAAAATACAACCAGGTTCTCCAAACACAACCAGTTCTCAATTTTCTGGATTGTTTCCGAATGTTCCACATCATCATGCCTTCCATCCGAATACGCCCAACCCAGCCGCCACTGCCTCCTTGCTTGCCCGTCACCATCTTCACCAACATTCTCTTTCCTCACAATCTCCCAGTTCTCATCGATCAATCTCTCAACAATCGAGCTTTGGGCACGTTTCGTCAAAAATTTCCAGACGAGATTCGGCATCACCGCGTTCGCATCCATATTCAAGAAACGCCGTTTCATCGCCTACGTCTTCAGTGGCGTCAGCAGCGAGCGCCACATCTCCGTCCAAACCCAAGATCTGGTCACTTGCTGATGTAGCAACCAGTAATGAAAGTAGCAAGAACTGTCGCAACGACGATACCAATTCCATAACTTCAAGCACTGCTAATTCATCACTTACTACATCACCAACACCCGGAATGGCGGTATTTCCAGGACGCTCTCCGGTTTATGGTGTTCAGCCTCATCACCAGTCTCCTCTTAACCCAGAAGCACAAGCGACAATTCGAAATTGGATGGATGGCGTAATGCAACAAAAAATGGCGGCTGCTGCAGCGGCCGCCGCGGCCATGTCTGGCGGACAAGCTCATCCATCTCCATTCTTTCCCGGTGGACTGCTACCACCACATCTTGCTGCAGCGCTGAACCCAGCAGCTCTAGCAGTAGCCGCTTCATTGCCAAGAGGCACTGATGGTGCAAGATTTCCGCATCCCTTCCCTGGTTTTGCGGAGTTGGCAGCGGCACAAAGAGCTCAAATGGCAGTACAAGTGGCAGAAATACAATCACAGGGGAACTCAATCACTGTCATCAATTCTGTTTCTCCTACAACGCCAACAAGTTCTAACAAACCATTCAACACTGGACTGCTTCACCGACACAGAATAGGTAAGATTATAAAACATTCGACTATTTTCTTCTTGAGAACCAACAGAGTGATTATATAATGTACTAAAATATGTATTTATTTTGCAGTTTCAAATGATGAAAAGAACCGTTCTTTGATTGTGTCGGCGACATCACCCGCTCATTCAGATGGCCAGTCCGCTGAAATTGCGAATTTCACCGCTCTAAATGCCAGGTAAGCATCAACAATATACATGCCATAAATAGTGTACGGCACTCCTAACAACCGAGAAAAATAATTAACGCGATAAATTGTGCTGGCGTATATTTTTGTATTATATATTAATAAAACAATTTTCTTATTCCACAGACCAGCAAGTAATGATTCTGGAATTGCCAGTGCCGAAACCAGCAAAGATAGCTTAACCCAGGGGAGCGATTCAGCCAGCACAAAATGAAGAGTCGTTCATGTCAAAGATTGAAATCAACTTGATCAAAAGACCACGGACAGAGTGGCAAATGACCAGTTCATGCCAAGAAATGAAAGAGAAGGCGAGGCTGAATCCCATCACATATATACGAAAGTTCCTCTCGTGAGAACACATGCATTCATTGTTCACAGGCTAGTATACAGACATTCACCAGGGCGAACGTCTACGAACAAAAAAAATCGCCGTTTGCGACAACGTAATTATCGGAAGTTCATTAGCTCTCGGGGGAATATATTGTTTATAAGACACTACCGTATTCAATTAGTGTATGTTTGACCATCAGATCATCAATACACTGGTCAATACCCATTGCAATTTTATTGTATTAAATACTCATAAACAGTTACTGTATTTTGTATATGTAGAGTTGTACCTTACAACAGGCAGAAAAAAATATGCGTAACCATTAAAAAATTATGTTACTGTTTGCCCTACATCAAGTGATTTATTTTAATGCTCCGTTTTGCACCACAAATTCTAACAAAACGGTTTATCATTGACCTCAATAGGCTGGCCCTATTTTGCACAATATTAAAAATAACCTCCTGCTGGGAACGTTGAAAAATGAAATCTCTAAATTACAGTGACGACGAACATTACTCATAATCATTTTATAAACAGGTTTTATTATTTAATGCTTGTCCAGCGAGGGTTCAATGAATGTCATACTCGGCATTGAATTAATTCTACTTCGAATCTTTTTCAATATTTTTTGTTGTCCTTTATTCTTTTTAGTAAAGTTCATTGTTGTATTATTATCATTATTATTACTTATTCTTTATACGTTGCCTGTTTTTTCTCTTTTCGTTCTTTTTATTACATTTCTCAACCATCCATATTTTATCGCGTAATATCACATTGACGAAATACATACAATAATAATGAAAACTATAGTACTTTTGTATATATTGTTACATCGTTTGTTTACGAAGGCGGGAATTCTTTTACCTGTCGCGTGGTTTGGCAGCAACGAAGCGACGTAAACTTGGCAACGCAGCAAAGTTAACGAGAATAGTTTTGTTTATTTTAAGTTAGAAATTACAGAAAGGTTTTCTAGTTAGATTGGTTGGTTGCTAAGGAAGCGTGCCAGACGCGACGTCCTTATCACATCCGTTAAGTGGATAAGTACTTGGTGCAATATATTCCGGAATAACTTGCAAGTCCACACGCAGGAGTGACCCAACGTTCAAATAGTGTGTAAATTACTTATTAAACTATTTGACGCCGGTTAAACTGGCGACCCAGATCTATATGTTTAAGTTAAAGAAGCCATTGAAGAAGCAACTTCAGATTTCCTAAGTGAAAATTCAATAGTAAATGCACTTACCGTTGAATATACTGGATTGGCTTGTACCAAGAACTCTTTTGTTTGGAAGAGCTTGCTATTTTGCAGTTAAAATAGGAAAGACAATAGATGCAAATTCAAAGGAAGAGCCGGGGGAGCGTGATTCTCGAAACCGACAATGCGTGAGTTGCTATTGATTTGTTCCTTTTATAGTTTATTATTTTAAGGAAACAATATATTATAAAATTGTCGGTTGAGAGTAAGAATAAACATAGGTACAAATGAGCGCCTTTGCGGGTTTAAACTAATTGAGTACCGTTATGAAAAATGCTAGTATTAAAACATGTTATTTTTTGGTATATATTCTATACTTACATTAAAATGGTAGCAAACAAATTTTAGTCATTTATTGACGATATGCAAATTTATAAAAAGTCATATTTATCATTATTCGAGCAAAATTATTCTAAGTAATGTTTTTCAAATCATATTTTATGGGTGGATTATTGTTCTGTGGTGCGATACACTCTACTTGTCTGCATATATGTGTGTTTTATTTTGCGTCGTAATACTAGGTTTCTTATTGCGTGCTGGGTGCGATTACTTGAACGAAAGCGCCAGTGGTCCGTTTACTGTTATTAAATATGCATAAGCCATAAAATAATATATAAAAGGAATTGATGATACAATAAATCGCTCTTTTAGTCAGGAGGATACAAAGTGTAATCCAGCCGTTGTTTAGGGTTATTACAAACAATTGGCGTAGTTTATAAAACATGGATAAATGTGAGAAGCAAGTACTTTCCTAGCTATTCAAAAAAGCCCGTATCCGGGACAAATGTGATCTCAAAAATTAAAGCGACTAATCCAGGTAATTTGCTCAAGGTAATTTCACTTTGTAATTCGGAATGTGGTCTCTGATCTCGCTTACCCATCCGAAACAGTAGGCTTAATAGTGGAAAAAATGCGTTCATTATCTTTCAATACTACTGGCTTCGCCCATTACGTCATCTTCGTATGAGCATATCGCCTGTTTTGATGCTTACGCATTCTTTTGCTGACAAACAGTCAGTCTACCAAATAACCTGATTAATTTATCAAAATATTTCAAATAGAATTACCACCGGTAACATTAAGATCTATTTTGAATCTAACAATATTCATTGAATAAAAACTTTTGTGATTCAAAATGCATTCAATAACATGAAAATAGTTTTCAAATTTATTGGTTTTAACAATGTATCAAAAACTTATTCATACAAATATTATCCACAATATTTACGTAAACGCAAAAATACATTAAATGAAATATTCCTATATGTAAATATTCGCTTTGTCACAATTGTATTTCACCATATGTAGTTTATATTCAATATTTATTTGATTTCAATTGTAAGATTTGGTATCCGTTCATCATTGATTTGTCTACTAAAAGCAAATCAGTGTCAAATCAAATAGAGATTCTTGCATTCAAAATTTCAAATGAATAGATCCCAGAAGGTTTCAAGTGTAACCATAATCATACACTGCAACAGTACTGACACACATTGTTGGTAAAGAAGTGTTTAGCAGCCTCGATAACAAAATGGCGATACGCGCACTTGACACTGTTGATGTGCATGCATATGGTGATATGAATTCAATATCGCAGGCTATTATTATTCTTTAAATTTCAAAACAATCCGGCTTTCAACACACTGAAAATTTATGACTATAGTAAAAGAATGCATATGTTTCACTATTTCAGTATACGTGACCATATTTTAGTTTCATTTTAGCATGAACTAAATCAAGGTTTGTGTTACAGATCGATCTATCGTTCACATACATGCTGATAAACAGACAGTCTACCAAATAACCTGATTAATTTATCAAAATACTTCAAATACCTGCATGGCTCTAAAATTATCATTCACCTTTAAGGTGACACCTAATCTTAGCTAAAAACAAAAATATGTAGCTCGAATTACTTAGACGCAGGAAAAAAATGGATTGTAAAGACCCAATTGTACCGGTACGACATAACCAACCCAAATTCTTACAGTCTGGTTGGGGGATTCGGTTAAAAATGGAAGAATAAGCATAACACGTACACGAAATGGGTAACACGTAATGCTATATTGTCAGTCATACGCTTGTTATAATGATACGTATTTCTCCATAATCATGGTACTCCAGAAGTATATGTACCAATATGGAGGTAACTAATTTTGTTCGCCTATTTTAAATCATCATGGGGATATTCACTTGGCTAACACAGACAGTCCCCGAACTCATAATAAAACTAAAATGAGAAAAATCGGAATAAAATTATGACCTAACAATAACCTGGTACATATACTACGGGAGCAGTTGTTGCATATTAGCTTATTTCATGGATTTGAATATATGGATTTGAATATAAGCATTGTCTGAAACGCTCAATGGATCACGTATCTTTTAATTCATTTTATCTAAATGAATTGTGTCGTTTCCTCCTTATATAATATTTACATGGGCAAATTCAAAAATATTGAACTGCTAGTCCTAATAAGACTGTTCTCTATGTTATTTCAGATTCCCTACTATTTTGATTTTTATCGAGAACCTACACATTCATGAATTCGTGATTTGCTATGTAATTATAATTATATCGTATATTGTTGGGACAATTAACTTTCTGAAAGCTGGAATTGTTTTATTGTATCAAAGCTTGTTCAATTTGCAAGACACCCGATTGTAATAAGCCGATAAAATTTACTTGACATCTTCCGTACACTGTTGCGAACTTGATAATAGGAAATAGCCCATGAAATATGGCAACACCTTTTATAAAATCAGTATTATGTACGATATAACGACCATGTACGGAGTTACAATTTTCCACGTCTGATCAGGCATACAATGAACCTAATATAGACGACTGTTACTGGGTTCTACTTATCGTCAGCAATTTTCTATTAGACTGTTTAGATTGGGCTTATGGGTCATTGACTAAAGAAATTGCGTGTACTTAACGTGATTCAGTCGTATAATATTATCTTTAATATAACATTAAAAAATAAATGTTTGTGACCTATGATTCTGCATCGCTTAATCTAGATCGAGATGGCAATATATACGATACGTGTTTGATTGTGGACATTTCTGATTCTTTTGGATTAAGTGAACACTGATTATCCAGAAGTATATATAAGTTCGCAATATTTTTCCGCCATTTTGAATTTTATTCACAGTCCTTATTTCTCAGTGTTTGATTACCTGAAGGCTTATAGTTTTAACACAAATATATTTTATTTTTCAAGAATAGTTATGGAATTAATACAATGGTATTATTTATGAGATTTTGCCCTGGTGCGTAACGTTGCGTAGTAAATAATATTCAATTGAATTACCGTTACACTTTGAAAGATATTTTATAATATATCAGATGTAGAATCTGATTTCATCTTATAAAAGTCTTATTTTATTCCATAAAAGTGCAATACTTTACCAGTTATTTGCATAGAAAATTTGACGCCTCAGAGAATTTGATGGACCATTATTCTAATAACACTATTTAACGAATGATACCCAACGAAGCTGAAGTTTAAGTTAATTATGACTTAGTTTGGCCAGGATATTTGTTAATATGTAACGATACAACTTCATAAAAAAAAAACGAAAAAAGCAAACAAAAAACATCTTCGAATTTCGTGAAATTCTATAATTTTATATTTGAGCTGGTACATATGAACTTTTGAATCATACCAGACTTTATTTACTTTTAATACGGTTATCATTATTCATTTATTATCAGTTAACTTTATCAGTACAAAATGCCTATCAGTGAGAAAGTGGTAGTCGTTGGTCATTACTCTAAGCTGACTATATGAAATATTTCACTAATGAACTGTTTTCGGAAGCAGGTCGCAATAAAGCAGTCACTTCTAAAAACGACTTGCAAACATTAGATACGGTTGTCAATATTTTCGCCCCTGGTAAAGACAAAACTAATTTCGAAATTAACTGCTATGGGAGTCGAGCGAGAAAGAAGTTCGCAATGTGATGCTCTTTCGATCAAGGCTGATTTTGTATGACCACTAATTGAACTGTGAATTTTATATTCGTTTCTTCTGTGATTTATGTGCGGCAATAAGGTAATAATTTTCAACTATATTGTTACAATTTTAGTTTTTATTGCGCAATGAATGCTTACTATATTTCGTCTCAATTATGTCGTAACTCAAAGTAAGCGCTAAGTAAGCAAACATAAGTTTTTAATGGGGAGGCAAATTGATAGCAATGCGTAAAACAACAACCATTATATTTGTAATTATGGTACGAAGTCATAATTCATTTTCGCTAGTTTTTAAACGAAATGTTGTTGGCAATGGCCTAGCCCTCGTGGTTCTAGTATCCGTAATAATTTTGTGTATCCTGAAATGTTTGAAAATGTATTATCGACTACAACTAAAAGTCTATAAATATAACCGTTTGAGGTAATATCATATATGTAATACTCTCAATTCGTGTTCCAGAAATGTAAATAAAATTATCTTATTTTACTTCAAAAGTCACAATGTTGTGAGTCTATCTTTTAACCAACGTTTTAAAATATCTTGATATTTTAATTTACAAACATATTCAACA